TAGACGCGATAAGTCGAACCCAGAACTTCGATTTCCAGCCGTCGAACTAGCTGGTAAGTGTAGCCAAGGCCTCACTCTGCCTGTTTTGTCTATTTAGATTGATAGCAATTGCTAACAGTTGCTGTGGTTGGGGCTTCTAGGTGCTACTTCAATGCAAATAGTAACTTGTGACCTCTTTAGTCTCTGAATTTCAAGGAGATCATCTTTTTTACTCTTCTATGAACAGTTCTGATCCTTCCTTTAAAAGTACCAAATCACTTCCCACCCTCAATGTTTCTCTCAGTTCTCACAAATTATGCCTCATCACACCTTCTGCCCATTTCATGATCCCTCCCAAGAACACAGTTCAGTGCATGCTGCACTGACAAGTCCAGAGGTGAAGTTTCTTCTGTTGTGGAGCAAAATGGTATTGTAAAATGCTTTAGGTAGGTCCTGTGTTATTTTTGGAGACTTGAAAGGGGAAATGCCACTTGGCCCAGCTATTCTTGTTATCCTATGGATCTGCCATCTGATGTTGCCCAAAAACTGATCTTGTTCCTGAGTTATAGTTAAAGAAACAATTAAAAACAGAGTTGTACAAATGTACTGATGATTGTCATCAGTTATCAGAAATAATGCTTATCAGTAGTCTGTCTTTCCAGACTCTAAGGAAAAACGGAAGAATTAGTGAGATGGTTGAGGACACATTGTAAAAGTTCATAGTTTCTAGATTATCTTTATTTAGATTTTTTTATTACTATTATTATAGCTCTGTTCCTGCCACTACAGTGACTTCAGATGTCTTTTTCAACAGAGGGTGGCAAGGGAAAAAAGTTTAAAGATGCTGTTTGGCTCTAGCACATGCCAGTTGATCATCTGTCTGCCTTCCTTAAGAATGTCTAGATCGAAAAGTAGATTTCTTGGTTACTTTTGGAGGATACAGTGGTCATAATAGCTGCAGTCCCATCCCCATCACTTTGCTCTATTCTCCTTTTTAAAGATAGTTATAAGTGGCTGACTTAGGATTTGAAAAATTCTCTTGCCAGCTGAGCATTCGTCCTTTTCAGACGTCTAACTAAGCAATGGATTTAGAAATTAATTTTAAAGTGAATCATAACCATTATGGTTGTAAAGATAACCCAGCAAAAGTAAACATGTGGTGTTGTCATCCTGAGTCTGCAGACAGCTCCAGTATCTCTGCTGCCGCTCATAGCGTTCCCAGCCTTAGTGATATAGTTCTGCTCAGTTTCAGTGCTATTTTTGCGGCTCTGACTAGCAACGCTGACACTAACTAGAAACATGTCAGTCATGTTAAAGCTATGAACGACAAAGGTAGGCGCTGAGGTAGTCACGGGGGATGGGAGGAAGACCAGATTTCATAATGAAGAATATATTGCTTGGCAATTTGTGACCAGTTGAAGGTGGTAAGGGTATGTCGACACAGCAAAAGCTGTGCACAGAATAGCCTATCTGAGCTAACTTGAATCCAGCTAGCACAAGTAACAATACGAGTGAAGAGAGTGCAGCGTGGGCATTAGAGCAGGCTAACAAGCCAAGTACATACCCAGGTTCTGCACCAGGCTTGTACTACCTGCGCTGAAGCCCCAACTGCTATGATAGCCTCTGAACGATTGTGGAATATCCACATTTTAGCTGAAGAAGTTGTTCTTTGGTGATTTGGATGCAGAGGAAGTACATTGAAACCAAAGTCCTCCCTTGAAAGAGGCAGAGTAGGATCTATATATTCAGTTGAAGGTGATATCAGTGTAGTTATTCGTGCCAGATGTTGCTAAAGGGCCCTTCTGTTTTACTATATTCCAGATAGACCTGAGGATTTCTGGTCTTTGAACATGTAAATATTGCAAACAGCAATAAAACATTAAAGTGCTAAGTCTGTTACGATTATAGCTTGATGGGAAAAGTTAAAGGCTTGGCTAATGTTATACTCCCTTAGCAAAGTATAGAGTTCCATATTTTGAAGTAACTATGAAAAATTGTTTTAAAAATTAATATAAGACAACTTAAAAAAAAAAGAAAAAAACCCTACCTTTTAGCCAAAGCTTGCTTGCTTAAGTTTTAGCTCAGAAAGGACTTACTGCTCAGTTAACAACCCCCAAAAACAAAAATGCACAAAGCAAATTTTGGACTATATTGAACCTCCAATAATTGGCCATAAATCCAATCAGACATCATTTAAAAGGCAATTTGTTGGTTTATGGATCTAGTCTCCTATTCATCTATTTCGTAGGTAGTGTTCATTTAACTCATGGGAAGAGCACAAACAGCCTGGGGGACCTGTTGAAAGAAAAGGCACTAACCAATTTTTCTGAAAGTTGTATTTTTTAATACAATATAATGTGGTAAGGGGACACGAATACAATGCTAATAGTTGCAATACATTCTGAAGTTCAAGTGGTAATTCTGTAATAATTCAGTAGAGGGCAGAATAAAACTTCTAAAGGAAAGAGCCCAGCATAGCTGCTCAGTATTACAGAGCAGGGATACTGAGCGGTTACTATGGAGTTGGAATTAGCACCATCCAATAAAAAGGTAATTGAAGCAGTGACTGCAGTAGGGTGCAGAAATGTAACAGCCTAGAAAGAGCTATAAAGAGTTTTGTATGTTGTATTTGTTTTAAGAAGCTGTAGAGATTTAATTTAGTGTGGTGTTAAAAGGTAGAACTAAGCACAATGTAAAACTTCAGATCTCTGACTCCTGTCAAAGTAAAGGCGGGGGTGGGAGTATTTCTGTCACTTCTAGTTAGATGCAGATTAGCTAAACTAAGATGTACATCATCTTAAAGAGTAATTGAAATGCTTTTTAAGTACAAACCTACTGTTTAACATCCCACGTCTTTAACTGAACACACAGATATAAAATAAAGCTCTTCTACTTATATACTTTCTAATACTTTTTTCCAAAGTTCTATCACTAACACTTGAAGATCTTTAAGAAAAGCTGTTCCCTGTTCTACTTAAGGTCTTTCTACACTATAAAACTGCTTTGTCAACAGACTCAGTTACAGCAGTGAATATTAAAATCTAGCTATAGACTTAATTTGTCCAAGGCTTTATTATGGTTCTGTGATCTAGCTAGATCCCATCTATCTGCAGATTTAAACTATGTTGTGAACAAGCAAGGCAAGGTTAGATACAATAATGTAAAACTGTTGGTGACCAGCCTCTGCTAGTACCACTGGAGCCGCACCAATCTAGCGCAGTGGTGGGAGATTTAGAAGTGCCAGTGAAGACACAGCCACATGTAGAAATACCACAGAGAATAAGGCCTTGTCTACGCTACAGAGATTTGTTGACAAAAGTTTATGCTGACGTACAGCCACTACTTTAATTAAACTACTGTTGCATGTCCACACTAGCATGTCTTGGCAGAGTGCATCCACACTAACAGCTCTTGCATCGACACAGAGCAGTGCACTGTGGGTAGCTATCCCACTGTACAACTGGCAACAGGGTGCTTTGGGAAGGGTTTGCAGTGCCTCATGGGGCAGGTACAGCGTCAGGTGATGTAGGTTTCTCAATCCCATTGTTCCATGGGCATCCTATTAGATTTCTAGCTACTTTTCAACTGAAGCAGGAGTAGGGTGGGGAGGAAGAGTGAGAGTGTGTGTGTACGGGGAGAGACAGTGTGTGTTGGGGGATTGGGGTGGGGGAGTGAATATGTGAGAGAGACAGTGTCTGCGTTGGGGCAGAGTGAGTGTGTCATGTGTTGGCATGCTGTCTCTTTAACTTCAGACAGCAACCGGAAGCAACCAGTCCTAAGGTAGTGGAGGGGAACATCCCCCTCACATCAGCCCCCACCTCCCTCCCTGGTTCTGCACAGTGTAGCAGCCCACTCCTTCCTCCCTCCCTGCAGCAGCAGCCTGCCTGCCGCTGTTCTCCTGGTGCTGGAGAGAGCAGGATTCCACATTAATTATTTGCTCATTGCTGTTGGAACAGAGCAGCATGCCCAGCTGTCAGAACTTCCCAGAGCTTTGAAAGGAGAAGGGCACATGCTTGTGTAGCTGTATGCAGGGCAGCCGAGTTCAAAACAGTGAGCAGAGACGTCACTCACGGTGGGCATTGTGGGATACTGGGGGAAGCCGTTATGGCAACATAACAAATCATCAAAGTAGATGCTGCCCTTCGTCACTTTAACTTTGCCGCAAAAAGCATTATGCCTCTCATTGAGGTGGTTTTATTTTGTTGGCAAAATAGGAGAATTTTGCCCCCAAAAAGTAGCATTCCAGTGTGTATACCTTCACTGTTGTGCCAGCAAAAGCTGCCTCTTGCCGACAGAACTGCGTGGTGTAGACAAGGCTTAAGATTGTGGCACAGTATCCTTCACTGCTGCTGGAATGTGCAATGGTTTCCTACTGAATGTGGTTCACATTACAGATGTTCGCTGACTTTATTGGTTAACATACCACCATCTTAAAAAACTGGTGTTCTATCAATTCACTTCTTGGCAAGCTCATGTACTACAGTTTGGGGACCCTGTACAAGAATGTATGACTGTATCGGGTATGTCCAGCTGCCTTGGACAAACATAGTTGCCGGATATTCCTAGTTAAATCACTTAGCGGAATAGTCAACACTATCACATTTAAGATTATAGATTAATACCCAGTTAAAGACTTACTGATACTTCATGGAAAAAAGAGGAAAACATTGGGGGGGGGGGAGAAACTAACTACTCTTTCCACTTCTGTAGAGGGATATTTACAAGAAAAACTGGATGTCTCTTTTGTTGGTGGGAGTGGTGGTGGTATAATTTTGCTGGCAATAAGTAGCAGAAAGGGATGAATTTAAGTTCTTTAAGATCTTGTTTTCATGTTAGCATTAAGCTATTTTGTCGAAAATATTGTATTAGTAGAAGTCTTCCTAAACAATATTGAACACTTCCATGGGGCACCACTAGACTTTGCAATTTAATGTGGGGAAGTCACATCTAAGGGCTGGTCCACACTAACCCCCCAGTTCGAACTAAGATACGCAACATCGGCTACGTGAATAACGTAGCAGAAGTCGAAGTACCTTAGTTCGAAATACAAGGTACTTACCTTTTCTAACACTTTTATTATTTTTGTTGCCCTCCAGTTTGTCCACATCTTTCCTAAAGTGTGGTGCATACAACTGAACACAAAACTCCAGCTGAGGCCTCACCACTGCTGAGTAGAATGGGACAATTAGCTCCTGTCTTACATATGACACCCCTGTTAATGCATACCAGATGTATTTTTCCCAACTATACATACTGTTGGCTCATAATTGGTTTGTGATCCACAATAACCCCCAGATCCTTTGAAGCAATAATACTGCCTACTAGTTATTCCCCTTTTTGTGTCTGTGCATTTGGTTTTGCTTCCTAAGTGTAGTACTGTGCTTTTGACATTATTTAATTGTTGATTTCAGACTAATTCTCCACTTTGTCTAGGTCATTTTGAATTCTAATCTGGTCTTCCAAAGTGCTTGCAACTCTATCATCTGCAACTTTTATAAGCATATAATACACTCCGTTATCCAAGTCATTGATGAAAATATTGAATAGTACCGGATCCTGCAGGACCCCATCAATAACTACTGTGAGTGCAGACTTTCAACTGGTTGTAACCCATCTTACAGTAAAGGTAACCTGTAAAGCAGTGGTTCTCAAACTTTTTTTTTTTCCCCGCGGACCACTTGAAAATTGCTGAGGGTCTTGGCAGACCACTTAATGATCTTTCCAAATGTTGTTTGTACCATTAGCTAACTATTGAAAAGCACTTTGGATAAAAGCACTATATTTAATTAAAAAAAGAAAAAAAGGTTGTTAATAAACTTTTTTGTTCCACAAATAAAAACACACAACTCATATTTTCATATCAGTAGTTTTACCTTTCAAATGTGATGGATGTGCCCTCTCTCCCCCACCGTGGCAGCCCCTGAGCTGGGGCTGGGAAGGAGGGGTGTGTCTCCCCACTACAGAACTGAGGCCGGGAAGGAGGGCTGTCTTTCCCCAGCAGCCACAACCCTGGATCTGGGGAAAGTTGCCTCTTTCTCTGGCCGCTGCAGCCCTGCACATTCCAAATTCACCCCACCCCACTGCCCCCTCCCACCTACCCGCTATTGCCCCCCACCCCAAGGCTACCACCTCACCTTACATGTGCGTCTTCTCCACTGTCCAGGCACCTAATTAGTGGCGCAACGCCTGCGCGTCTCCACTAATTAGGTGGGTTGCCCTTCATTGTCTTGTGTCCAGCCGCCCAGGCACACACCTTAGAGGGAACTATCCGCAGACCACCTGAATGGAGCTTGCAGACCACTGATGGTCCACTGACCACAGTTTGAGAACCTCTGCTATAAAGGACTTTTTAAAACTGGGTTTTCCCTGATTTGATTCTTTGACGTACAAAAGACGTAATATTACACTCGCACATACCCCCCAAAAAATCCCTTAGAAATATCGTAAATGTCAAGTGTAGGCTTCCCTGGTTTCACAGCAGGACACGAAGGGTAAAGGCTCATGAGTTTGAATTGGGAACTCTGTCATGCTGTAATTGAAGTATTACTTAAATTTTAACAAACACAAATGAAAAATAGTTTTAATCAGGCCTTTCTACACAGGAAAGATTTTTTTGGTCTAATGTAAAGTGTGAATTTAAACCAAGGTAGTTACACTGGTATACTTCCCTGCCCCACAGGTAAACACTCTTAGGCCTCATCTACATGAGAATATTTTCGGTATATCTTTAGGTTTTATTGGCATAAACTGCCTTGCATCCATGTATGAATTATCTTCTTTTTGTTTCATCTTGTGTTTTATCCTGCTATAATTAATCCACTTTGGATGTGAAATAATTCTATTTTGGAATTAGTTATATACTGCTATAAGGTTCATGTGGATGCATCCCCATTTTGAATTACCAGTATTTCTACAGGTAGTCCTCTAACAGCTATCCCACACTGCTTTGGTTCACATCTGGATTGGCCTGTCTGGTTATCTGAGCATTCTCCGTTGCTCTGGAGTCATCTCGAGAGGCTCTCTCTCTCTCCATCCCTGGTTTAAATGATGGCATACACACAAGCACATCTGCTTGTAACTCTAGTTCAGATGCCAAGTCCATTACAGCCACCATGTCCAGTGCTTTCACATGGTCTCATCAGGAGATCCTGGACTTTCTTACTCTCTAGAGCAGTGGTTTTCAACCAGTGGTTCGCGGACTCCTGGGGCTCCACAGACTGTCGTAAGATTTCCAAAGAGGTCCGCACCTCCATTTGAAATTTTTTAGGGGTCTGCAAATGAAAGGTTGAAAACCACTGCTCTAGAGAGAGGAACAAGTTCAGTCTCATCTTTCTGGTAGTCAGGAAAAGCAGTACTCCCAGAACACGTGCCAGCACTGTGCCAAAGGCATGGTCTTGTGACAGAACCACAAAAATGTCAAAGACAAAAAACAAGACCTCTCATATTGCTCCCAGTATGTGTGCAGGACTGGAATTTTTGCTCAAGAAACCCAATATATGTTGGACAGTTTGGCCATGGCCCACGATGAGGCAGACATGCCTTCAGAAACCACATAGGAAACTCTGGATCCCATGCAGGAGGAAATTTCCCTGGACTACACAATCTCTTTGGCATGCCTTACTGCCATCCAGAGATCCATCTGGAGACACCACCCGAGACCCAGCCAGAGAGACAGAATGACAATGCTGAAGAGGCGTCCTCATCCAGTAAGTATAAAGTGCTGTATTACAATTAGCTGTCCCGTTCTGCCTGTATGTGGGATTTGAAAACCTGCTTTCTGGATACTGGGTTTGCACTGTCATGGCTGGCAGATAGTGCTACAGCAGAGGGCAGACATGGTTGTCCTCTGCTTACTTGGCCTTTCTGTAGCATCCGCACTCAAGGTGGCATCCAATTTGGAAAATTAAACTACTGAGAGCATCTTTTTTCCCCAAAATTCTTACTCTCATAATCCCTAAACCAAAATGTGCCCTCCCTACTTTCTCCTTCCAACTTGATGCTCCCTCTGCCTTCCAGGCTGTGCCATGGAAAAAATGTTAGAAGACAGTCATCCAAAGTGTTTGGTTGTGGCAAAATAAAAAACCAGAAGTGTACCAGTAAGAAATGCATACAAGACCATAATTTAGTCACTACCCTGAGCTCTTTTAGATTTCAAACATCTAAAATTTTAACAGGGTAAATTGGCCACTTGTGGTTAAAGGACTTATGCAGCAGGACAAGAACAAGTGAGAAAGGACAACTGGGGACATGCCAAGGAGCTGTCAAGAGAGTGTTTGGACCAGTTGGACAGGGAAATAGACTTGCAGGAAAGGATGTCAAACATGATGCAGAAGCAGATAAGGTAGCTGGAGAACGTTGTTACGCTGTGCTCACATAGACAACACCTTAACCTAATTTAATTCTATTGAGAATACAGCAAACTTGAGATTCCCTTTTCACACCCCCAACTGCAAAGGATAGACAGTTCCCACATCATTCTACTCCCGAAGACAAGGAGAACAATTACAATCCCACCTTCTTATTTTGTGACCCCATCTGCACAAACAAATTCATTCTGTCCTTTTGGTTATTTCTGCACCCTTTTATTTATTCATCTTCAAGTGCTTGCTCATATCGATTCCAATTAGTGTGTATTTGCTGCATGCACAGTTTTCTGGAAGGTTTTTCCATAGCAGCACCTGTCGGGTCGGCTCTGGAGCCCCCTGGAGTCGCGGCTTCATGGCGGCGCATATAGGGTCCTGCCGACCCACTGCCTCTCCAGTTCCTTCTTACCATCAGTGGCGGTCGTTGGAACATTTTGTCTCTCGTCTTCAATGAGTGATCCTCTAGTGTATTTCCTGTAAATAGTTAAAGATAGTTTAAAAATTGTTGTAGGTAGTTAGACATCTGGACTTGGGATACTGGGGAGGTTCCCTCCCTCACTTCTCCATCCCTCTCCTGGGCCTGGGGCATGCCTCGGACCCAGGAGTTCTAGCCGTGCGGAGTTTGCCAGAAGCCTATGCTGAAGGGCGACCCGCACTCGGCTTGTCTAAAGTGCTTGGGGAAGTCCCATCAAGCAGACAGGTGCAAGATCTGTAGAAGCTTTTGCCCCTGCACGAAGAAGGAAAGGGATCCTAGACTAAGTTGCTGCTAATTGGAAGCAGCTCTCCACCCTCAGTCTGAGTCAAGCCCCATGGACGTGGCACTGGGCTCCTGAGAGTCAGTGTGCAGCGCACTGGCTGCGATCCAGGAGGTGCCGAGGAAGGACTCTGCCGAGGGTCTCTGATGCCACTGGCGTTCCCCAGCGCTGAACACGGCACGGGATCAATCTCGGCACTGCTCACAGTCTTCTGTTCTGAAGAAACAGCACAGGAAGACTGATAGAGGGCACTCCCATTCCCGTGCACAGGAATGTGAACCCAAGGGAGGGAGACCACACCTCCCCTCCAGCTCAGTGACTGGCACCGTCCACTCCGGGCTTCCGGGAGGGACTATTGAGTCCAGTGCCCCGGAGGAGACCCAGGTGGAGGATTTGGACCTCCCTTCCACACCTGAGATTTATGAGGTAGCGCGGGACCTGATAACATTGACAGGCTTGCACTCCCCCGACCACAGTGTCACAGCACCAGTCCTGAGTCCCCAAACGACTCAGAGGCCACCCGTGAAGTTCAGGGGCAAGCCGGCTATGACTCGGCAACGATCTGTGTCACCCCGGCAACGATCCCTGGCACCAACAGGCATGGCTCCACCATGGTCCCTACGCATGGACTCATTGGAGTCCGCATCGGACACAGACTCGTGTGTGCCGGAGAAGCCGACATAATAGCTGCTGGCACTCCCAGTCAGCAGGGATGACCCAAAACTTTCCTCCGGTACCGTGGCCACCACAATGAATCAGATGCCAACCTAGTGGCCCTTTTGGACCCCATGGGCTTACCACCACTCCCAGGGGTCTGCCTTTGTACGCTCCTTTTCCATCATATCCAAGAGAAGGACTGCGTCTAGGGCCAGGGATTTCTCACGGGCATCAGCCAGCGCCATTATTGGTACCACGCCCAGCACCGACAACAGACCCAGTGCCGTACCCAGCACCATGGCTTCACTTAGTACCATGGACGGTACCACCGCTGCGGCTGGGGCGGAGCCGCACCATTTTGAGGAGCTGGATGGGCAGGAGAACCCCTCCCATATTCCGGGCTCCGCCTCATCGTTTCCAGATGAGACAATGGGCCCCCCACTTCCCGGCAGCAGAGCCCACCTTGAACTTCTAAGGCAGATTGCTCAGAACCATGCAGTACAGATGGAGGAGTTCACCGAGGTGTCAGACCCAATGGTAGACATTTTGATCCCCAGCAGGACCCACCATGGTGACCCTTCCCCTGATAAAGACCATTCAAGAGAACATCAATTCCTAATAAAATCAATTCACAAGTCTTTGCTACATTGTATACACTTCATTTATTAAATTACATTACTTTCGTTTTCCTTCCCTATACCATGCAGTCTAAGTACAAGCACAGTGATTCCCTGGCTCATAGGGGCATTAGATAGAGGCATCCTCTCTAGCTGGTCATAACATCTCAGAAGTCTCTTCACTTCCCACCCATTGATGAGGCTCTCTCCCTTGCTCTCAGATGTGAAAAACACTGCAAGCATCTATGATACAAGACCGATATCTCTCAGAAGCCTCTGGCCTTGTCATGACATATGTTAACCTTTCTTTCAGTCTTCCAAATGCTCCATAGTCATTCTGCGGCTACTCAGGTTATAGTTAAACAGTTCTTTCTCCTATCCATGTGTTTAGCAAAAAGCTTCATAAGCCAGAGAAGCAGAAAGTAAACCAATTCTCCCAGACAACTGGCTGGAACCCTGACACCATACATGTTTATAGTAGTTTTGGGAGCAAAAGTTCCATTTTTCATTGCCTAAACCAGAGGTGAGTTTCTACATATCCTGGCATCAGGGACGCATGGGTCCCTCAATGGCCTCTATATGGGATCCCCAAAGATTCAAAAGCCATCAGTAACCTCCTGTGCATTGCCAAGCTTAATGACCCAGGACAGCAACACCCTCGCAGCCAACAATGTGTACCTCTATGACCAACAACCCTGAAAGTTGATCTGCCAACCAGACTGGTTAGTTACTGACTGGTAGCAGCTGGGCATTGCAAGCTTCCAGAAGGCAATGACCACATGATTCTGCACACTGAGTGGGCCTCGTTGGTATTTTACCAATGTAACTCCAGGACGAGCTTTGCACAGTTTTCCAAGAGAGCAGCCTTCCATATCATAAAGTTCTGCAGCCAAACATCCTAGGTCTGCAGCAGCGTTCTGTCCTATCAGTTAGTGATCATTGGCTGAGCCCAGAAGTGGCACTCTACTCTGTGACACCAGCCTAAGAAAATATCATGTAGAAATAACTGCCCAATTTGTCGTCGTCGTCCTCCAATAGCTGTTTCTGTACAGTATTGTGGTGGTGGTCTGTCTGTTCTGCCACCGACCTGAGTGGTGGCCAGTACATCGGGAGCATCCTGTTTGTATGCGGGATGGTCAAGATCACTGTGCTCAGCAGTGCTTCCTCCATGCTGCCTGAGAGCAGTTTACAAAATTTGTTTGAAACCAACAGTTTTGAAAATGGTATTGGTTTTGGAATATTATGGAAGGAATCATAGAAGTTTGACCCCAGGGCCGAGAATTTCAGAAGGTATCCCATAATCCACCAGGAGAAACAACTTATAATGATTTGATATTAGCAGCAGCAGAACGTTCTTGGGATACCTGCCCAGAATGCTATGCACTTCTTAAGAAAAAGCACAGTGTTTTGTGGATGCTATGATTCACACAGGGAAGTCACAGCTTCTTTAGACAAAGCAGTGTGGACTTACTCTTTTGGTTTAGTTATACCTTTGTATACTGCAAAGGTTGAGAAAATGTGTAGACAGTATTCCAATACTAGCGCCTTTTGTTTTAGTTTAGCTTATGTCGCTTGGGATAAACTTTAAACCCTACTGAAAAAAGCCACTCTTTTACCAGAATACATGTGTCCACCGGGTAAACCGTTCCTGTGTAGATAACCTTCAGACTGACCAAAAATCCTTTCCCCTCTTAAATTGCAGTCTTGTAATGTCATCTGTTTCCCTACTTCTCTATTCATCAGAGTCTTCAGTGTACACAAGAATTGTATTTCTAGGGTCAAGAACCTTCTAAGTCTTTAATTATATTATACACCCATAAAGTAGCAAAAAGCACACGCCTAATTTTTTGTGTGCTCCCAAGACTTCCATTTACATCATGAAGTCTTTCTGAGCAATCTAAAAAAAGTTAACTTTGCACCTCAATTACCAAATAGAGAATACAGCCAAAGCTGCTGTTTTTATATATAATATAAAATAAAATAGCCAGCCAAATCCAAAGGGAGACCAGCGATGTACAATTAAATGCCACTGGTTTTCTAATGTTGATTTAGACTGTTCATGGGATTTAAAATTCTAAATGCTATCAAAGGCAGATTTGAAAAGTATGAAGGTTTGAAAGGTAAGTGGAGTAGCAACTGACTTAACCAGCGTTAACATAAGTAAAATTAAGGTAGAGGTCCCCATTCAGCTGGGCTAGAACATGCTATCGTTATGTAAATGAACAGAAATCATCAAAATTTCACTTGTTGCTTAAAACTTGCAATTTTTGTGAATAACATGACATTGCAATCTGTGTACTATTTTGAATGTATTTGCGTGTGTGTGTATATGGGAGCTGTCAGCTGGTCCTATTGAACTTTCAGAAATACCAGACATTTAAAACAAAAAGTTCATTTGGGTTATATATAGTTCAAAAATGTTCATTGCATTATACTTTTTGAGAGAGAAATTCTGAATTACAGTGTAATTACTAATTCTTCCTCATGTTAATCTTCATTCACACACCACTTCTCAGCACAGATTCAATAACAGCATTCCATTGTTAGGTCTGGAATTACTAAAATTTATTGTTTTTTGTTAAACCAATGACATAATTTTTACTATTTTAGTACAAAGTAATGTAAAACATTACAACTAAACTCTATAAGTACATTCTTTGATCCAGTATCGCTATAGTTTTGTTTTCCTCATTCTAACAAAGAGCGTCATGCAGTCATTAGAGCAAATTAGTGAGGTTGTAATATATTTTTGTTGGCTAAAAGTATCAGCGTTACATATAAAGAGTACATCTAGTAAAAGAGTTACATATAAAGCAGTAGAATAAGCATTTTCAGTGTGAGGAAAATAAATTGTGAAGATAATTTAACAGCACACTTTTCAGAATATTAAATACATGAACATTAAGATGATTTGGGTGCCACTAGGAAATAGCTGCAAAACTTTTCAGTTTCTTGTGTAGCTTTAGTTGCTAACTGGTTTAGTATGATACGTTTTTATTCTTCTAATCCATGAAAGTGTCCTCAGATTTTAAAGTCACATTGAAGAAGTTGCAAATTAATCTTTTGAAATACAATTATTATGGCCATTCTTAATTTAGAAAAATCAACTTTTTTTCTTGTTTGCTTTCCCTAGGAACTATAACCAGCTCTCATCAGTCATCAAAATGCAAAGGAATTTAATACAGACTGTGTTTCAGCTGGCACATCGGACATGTTTGGTACCACATCGCACTGGTTTCCTTCAACACTTAAAAGGGAAACCAGTTTTGCCTCAGACTGGATGCAGAGTGGTTTTGGCATTGGGCCCTGAAAAACACTGTCTCCATGCATCTGCTGCACTCTGTCTCTCAAAGGAAGGAAAGTCATTGGGTGTATTTTCATCCCAACCAGAAGGCACTCACCACAAAGAACAAAAGGAAGAAAACCCTTTGAAACCAGCTAGTGATATACCCCAGGGGACGCCTGTAGAATCAAGTTCTTTAGAGCCTGATCCATTACAAGACAAATCAATTAGTCTCTTTCAGAGGTTCAAGAGAACTTTTAAACAGTATGGAAAAGTTATGATTCCACTGCATCTGTTGACTTCCAGTGTATGGTTTGGATCCTTCTACTATGCAGCCATGAAGTAAGTTACTGATTTGTAACAAGGTCATTATTGCTATTAATCTGAGACAAATATATACAAGAACATCTGCAATGTAGATCTTATTACGTGTCACAAATTACCCAACTTACTCCATCAGCAAAAGGAGTTTCCATGTCTTATTAAAGCCCAAGATTGTTAATGAAAGGGAATAGACCTCATATCAATGTGTTGTTTATGTACTATTTAACTTCCTACAGTCTGTCTATACCAAATACTTTATCTTCCTTTGGAAGGAATGTAATTGTCACCAAAATAAAACAATGCAAACATCATAGGCGCCGGCTTCCTGCGGGCCCAGGGGGTGCTCATCCACCCCAGGTCCTCCTCCCCCTGCCCCACCCCTTCTCCCAAGTCCCCACCCCCGCCCTGCCTCTTCCCGCTCAGTTCCGCCCCCTCCTCTGAGAGTTCCCCATCCCTGCTCCTCCTCCTTCCTCCCAGCACCTCCTGCCTGCCACGAAACAGCTGATTGTGTCGGGCGGGAGGCGCTGGGAGGGAGGGGGAGGAGTTGATCAGCGGGACACCCAGCGGGTGGGAGGCGTGGGGCGACAGGGGGGGGAAGGGGAGCACCAGCCCTGGAGCACCCACTGAATTGGCACCTATGGTACGCATTACCTTACAATGGCATCTGTTTCCAGTCTCTGCTGTGTGGCAAAGATGGTGGCTTGTTCTCCCCTCTCTGAAACAATAGTAAAGGGAAATCCGCTGTAGGCCTGACCCCTCGCCCTTCTGGTTTTCCTCCCCTACGTGGTAGAAGAAACTAAGGAGAGCTTTCTGCTATAGGCCAAACCTTCTTTTGAATTTAAATTTAAATTTGTTTGTGTGGGCTGAAATTTGAACGATACAGAGTTCGTAGGTAAAAAATATATATACCATATTTGCTTTTCAGGCTGTCTCAACCGTAGAATGTGCCAGGTACCTACCTTCTCACTTCTTTTAGTTGAAGGGGGTAGGAGGTGGAAGAGGCAGGAGAAAAGGTGGTAGCAAGGTGTTTTCTTGTCTTTGGTATCTGCTCCCTTCCAACGTCGTTTGGCAGCTGCTTGCTTTGTCCACTGCTTGCAGGAAGAGCAGCCCCTTGGAGCTAGCTGGTGGGGGCTTGAAACCAGGGTGGACCAGCAGCTCCCCTAAGTTCCCTGCGTGACAGCCGCCGAGTAGGCTATCAATTACTGGCAATTCAGCTATCCCTTTCCCCACTGCCATGTGCTGCTTCTGCCCTCTGCCTTGGAGCTGCTTCCGGGAGCCTCCTGCTTGCTGTGCGGGGGGGAGGGGGGCTAATGTCAGGTTGTCTCCCCCCTGCTCCTGCATCCCACTTACCCCATCTCCATGGGGGTGGTGATGACTGGACAAGGTTCAGGACGAGGGAGCTTCCTTGGGAGCAGCTGCTGTCTCAACTTGTTAATCTACTTAACAAGTCAGTTTACTTTGAGTGGGGTCAGCGTACTTAAAGGGGCAATGCGCATCTCTCTCTCTCTCATACAGGGTTTGTGTCTCTGTCTGCCATGCTGTCTCCCCTCCCTCCATTCGTGCTGCCTTGTAGAGTGTGAGGCTAAATTAACAATGGGTTAATCCTTGAAGACTCAGCCAAAAGCTAGTTCATCATTTAGCACCAAGGCATTCCCTGGGAAATATCCCACCCTCTGACTTCACCAACTCAACCAAGCTTCACAATCATCATGGCTGTGTACAGTATTAAATTGTTTGTTTAAAATGTATAGTGTGTGCGTATATATGTATATGTGTGGGGGGGGGGGTATAGATATCTTTTTTTGTCTGGTGGTGAAAATTTCCCTGGGAACCTAACCCCCCATATTTACAGTAATTCTTATGGGGAAATTGGGTTCGCTTAACATTGTTTCGCTTAAAGTTGCATTTTTCAGGAGCATAACTACAACGTTAAGCGAGGAGTTACTGTAGTTCCCTCCCAACCCCCATCTTTGAGTTCAGAAGGTTTTTGTGAGAGGGACACAAAGCCTTTGAAGAATTCCTTGTTCTTTTACTATCTTTATCTTTAATCCTCTAGAAGGTACTGGGAACCAAAACTTCCAGTTTGGTGGTCTAGGTTAGGCCCATTAGTAGAAACTCTCTGAAGAAAATGTGTCATTTGCTCCTATTCCTCCCAAGAAACTAGTTTGATCACTGAGATTAGTTGTCATCTCTCTCCCCATGCTTCTCCAAAACAGTGTGGTGGATGAAAATGTATTGTATTGTGATGCTTTGTTTCTGGGGTTTTATTTAAACTAATCCTTGTCTTTTTTTGGACCCTCACAAAAGCACTGGGAGTATCAGGTGTGCATGGAGTGCGCAGCACTTACTAATATACTCAAGTCCTTATTTGCAATGCCCATGCCATTTCAGGTCTGGGCATCATTTGGATAGGCTGCCAGACATACACACTTGTTTGAATATGAACTCTGGATACCATTAATCATTCTGCTTTCTCTTTTTTTTTCTTGTTAGTATTTGTACATCTTGTAATAAAACTAATGTATCAACGCTCCACCAAGTCTACTCTCGTTTAGCCTCACTAGATCTCATGTGAAATTGCTGAAGACTTAAAACTGTGTGTTTCTGGTTTGGAAACTCACCTTGATTAGAATAAGCAATATTCATGTCAGCTACAAGATCAGTTTAGATTAGAGGGAGGTTTTATTAATCTGTTACTTTTGTTGAATTGGAATAAATGTTTATCTCTGGACTGTGCATGTTGCATATTTAATAATAGAAGACATGAAACAATGATAGTTTATGGCTGGAAGGATGGGCCTTTGACATCAGAATGCATTATGACACAAGTGTTTGTTTTAGTTACTCTAACCAGCTGGCATAATTGCCCTTTCTAGGCGCTATAGATCCAAATGTCATTCTAAATTTAGCCCATCTCAGAGTAATAAAGATCCCAAGCTATTAAAACATTTTGCTTTGGATGGATCTAAGGTTGATGCTCACATCCAGACATTTTAGACTGAGTAAAGTTTAGCTAGTTTGTCTGAGTCTTTAGTTAGCAGTTAAAACACACTTTTGACAAATGGACACAAATGAAAACATTTAATTAGGAACTAGTGAGAAGCAGAGCCTCAATATATCATACTAGAAAAGCAGCACCGTCTTGAGGTGAAAAGTAAGTTGGATCATGAATAATAGTTATATAAGGCTAAATTATTCAAGTCTGAAATTATTTTATCAACAAGTGTTAACATATTTAGGCCCATCGCAGTTTTCTAATCTGAGTCTTCTAATACTTAGTAGTTAACATTTTAATGTTTAATGCTATAAAAGGGCACTTTCTTTTCTAGAGCAACAGTTCGGTAACACACTATTTCCAATACTGTATTTATTCCTGCTGATACTGATAATGCACAGAATAAGGACTAAAACACTAAAATAGTTTAGAGGAGTTGAAAATTACGTTGACTATGATAGCATACTACTTATAGGGCACCCTGTACAGGTAATCTTAGGGCTTTCAGTGACACTGGCAAAACTAAATGTTAGAACAGTATTTCTAAATATCAGAAAATCCATTTCTTGTATAACTAATTGCATATACTCCCATTGGCCGGGAACGGTGAACTGCAGCGACTGGGAAGCCATGCCTGAGGATGGTCAACATCAGCAAAATGTCTCGTGGCCTGCAATCAGATTACCCTGATGGGCTGCATGCGGACCACAGGTTGCCCACCACTGGTTTAATGCATCTTGAGGGGAAATGTGAGGGACTGGAACCTGGATACCTCATTATGAGGGTAGGCTGCAAATTAATCTTAACACAAACAAGTATATTGTGTTCTCTGTCTCCATCTCTTAGGGCTTGTCTTCGCTATGGTGGTAAGTCAACCTAAATTACGCTACTCCAGCTATGTGAATAACATAGTTGGAGTCAACGTAGCTTAGGTCGACTTACCCCAGTGTCTTCACTGCACTGCATCGATGGGAGACGCTTTCCGGTTGACTTCCCTTACTCTTATCAGACAGCTGGAGTACCTGGGTTGACCAGAGAGCGCTCTGCCTCTGAAGAGAGGGTCTTCACTAGACCCGCTAAATTGATCCCTGCTGCAGTGAAGACCAGCCCTTAGAGTGAAGCTGGTCCTCAGTTCTCACATGAACTGAGCCTTCACAGTTTAGATGAATATGACTTTCTTTGCACCAGTGTATCTACTTACCTCCAAATATACTAAATAGGGACAGACGCAGTTTGATTAAGTAGTAGCTCAAACCATCAGGTACAATTTATTACTTTCATTTCTTAAAATAATGTAAAAATCTTGTTTGTTTACATGTAATACAAACATACCAGAAAATGTGTTTAAAAACAAGTATGTTGCTTAGAGTAAGAAATACTGTGCTGAATGTTTTAATGATCCTTTCAAACATAATCCTGTTTTTATGTATAACTCTTTTTCTTTGATAGAGGAGTGAATGTCATTCCTTTCCTAGAGTTCATTGGGGTTCCAGAAAGCATTGTAAGCATTCTGAAAAACTCTCAGAGTGGATATGCGCTAACTGCATATGCAATGTATAAGGTAGGTACCATTATAGTTAATTGGTTCTGACATTGCCCAGTGATCTAAACAATTATCTTAGATCAGAAAGAATTAGCCCTGTTCTCCCTCTTAATAGTTTAGACATTTTTAAATGAATGTTTTAAACCTAAATATTCACATTACTCAAGTTAAAAGGGTCAGAGTGCTTTTAAGCACCTTTGCATCACTATAAAATATTCCTAAACTGTTTTATTTTGTTGAATGGCTGTTTGGCATGCCATAGTAGTGGTGACAATCCTGTGTAATACCTCTGTTTTCCCCATACGTAACTCTCAGAGCTAGAGAGTGACAGTTTAAATGTTTTGAGTTCTTCAGGTGACAGTGCAATTTTTTTTTTTCCTACTGAATTTTTTAGTTTAGTACTTATGCTTTCATTACTGACTTAGTTGGGATTTCATTGGCCAATTGTCCTAATACAGTACTTAAAGATCAGATTTTTGGTTATTTTTTTCTGGGTTTAGATCTGCACAATTTGTTTGTACGGTGCTTTGAACATGTAAAGCATTGTACAAGAGCTAAGTATTAACATCTTTATTTACAATACATCGTCCTTTTGTTGTGCACATATCTGATTGTTTTAATGCATTTTACTAGTTATGTAGCTAACTTTTGTCCTAAGTAAAGGGATGATGAAGTAAAGGCACAGACACTTGCCAGTTTAAACAGTTTAGTATATTGATGCCTATAGGTAGTCAATGAATGTATGCATTTAAAATATAAAGATTTTATAATAAACACAACCTATTCTTGGATTGGTATATAGTGCATATGTGTACTATTTTCAGGAGATTTGGCCATGCCAAGTATATGTACATTTCTTGCTTGAAGTCCAATCCTGCTCCGATTGAAATAGAGGAAAGTAGGATCAAGCCTGATGTAAATTTAAGGGCCACATTTTCAGAAATACTCATCTCCTATCTATGTTCCTAAATGCAGATGACATTCCCAAAACAGTGAGAGCTGCTGGCTCTATTTTCTTCTGAAAATCTGGCCCTGTACTTACTCCGAGTGACTTATTGTTTAACATCAGGTGGTGTCTTGAGGCCAACCACATCCAGGCCCCATTTTGCTAGTCACTTGTGCAGACATATTTTAAAAATAATTCCTGCCCCCAAAGAATTAATAATCTAAAATTGTGTGCTAGTAATCTTTTTCTCAGGGTCTTTGCTTTTTGGAAAATAATATTAATTTGACCAACTTTATCCCTTTTCTTTACATTTCCTGCCTCCTCTGTAGATGCTCACGTTGTGGGGTAACTGCCAAGTTCTCCCAGTATTCTTCAGTTTGGATATTGGGATAACATTTCCCTGTAAAGTAAATACCCTTTTTAACAAGAGGGTTTCATTTAACCATTAGCAGAGGTTAGGTGTCCTAGAATTCCAGAAAATAGTATAGAATGTATAAGTATTAAATGAATTTTCTAAACAATTTTTATAAACCGTTGCCACTGTTTTGATAATTCTATTCAGTAAGCAGGAGTCCTTTTTAATTCTACATAATCAGGGGCCTGGTTTGATGCAGCCTAGGACTGAATCTGCTTTGTTGCTAGAAAACAGTAGAAAATACATTTTAAGTTCAATACTAACATATCTTTGCTATTGTAAACTTTATGAAAAATAAATTGGCATTTAATCTTACATCACCTTTTACATTTCTGGTTTTTGGTGTTTTCTTGTAATGAAACAGATTCTTTCAGTCTTACTTTGCATGCTGGGTTATCAAATCATCCTGGTGGCTGCTTACCATTTGCTTCCTTTTATTTTTGTTTTGTTTAAATAGTATTTAAAATATTTTTAAGAACTTGCTCTTTTGTTACTGGGTGCAGTGACTGTTAATAACAAGACAAATTATGACTTCTTAGGTTTTCTGTTTGGGCTTATCTGTCTTATTCCATGCCAGTGTCTAGCCTGTAGTAAAAGTGACTGGCCTTCAAGTCTTATAGCATTGTTTAGTATTTTCCAACAAGGAGCAATTAAGCAAAGTGAGATTATTTTAAAGTAAGAGACAGATGCAGAGAGTATTTATAAGTAGCTAAAGAGCTGCCAAACCTTCAGCCCTCGCTGAATTAGGAATTAGTATTTGTCCTCCCACTTTTATTTCATGATGATTTGTCATTATATGGAGATCAGAGCTGGGAATAAAGATTTGGGTAAGAGAAGAAAAGGAGCAATAAAGGATGAGCGATTAGACAGCACTATCCAGAGGGTTCATTTAGACCTTGTTTTCACTCAAGCTTTGTCTAAACTAGTACTTTTGTCACCAAAAAGTGGTGACAAAAAGTGGAGATGCTCTCCCATCAACATAGCTACTGCCGCTTGTTAGGGGTGATTTAATTATGCCCGTGGGAGAGTGGCTACATGGGAGACCTTACAGTGGTGTATCTGCAGTGGTACAGCTGTGCCGCTGTAAGGTCTGTAGTGTAGATGTAGACTAGGAAAAAGGGTATTAATGTGGTAAAATCCTGCTGTGGACAAGGCCATTTGTGCTTTTCACATGTTAGCTGATCGAGAGGTTAGTGAGAACTACTTGTCCACAGCAGGATTTTACTGCGTGTTCGCTAACACATGGTAAAATGGCCACCTTTTTTTCCCTAATGTGGATACTCCCTTAGCCACTGCACAAATCCAGTCTGCATTTCTTTAATGTATATAGTTTTTAAACTTTTCATTCTTTCAGTTGTCACTTCCTTCCCCCCCACCCCCCAATAAAAAAGTCACACTTTTCTCGATCTGCATGATCAAAATAATGTATTACACTAGTACATACTATTTAAGAAATGAACCTACAAACCTTCTGGTTTTATGCACGAGGACAAGATCACCTTGTTACCTGCATGGGAGACCTTTAAGTCCTAACTGTGGAAGTAGTATTGGTTCTTTAGTATATGTAATTCAGGCAAAATGCTTATGCCATGGTGCATATTGGTATGTAGTAAAGAGGCACTGTGCTTTTGGAGGAGATGGAAAATGGAATTCCTGATCACTTGCGGTCAGCAAAGATCCTGTGGCACTTTGCATTTAAAAAAAAAGTTAGTTTAGGGGCAAATTTGTTGTGATAAACAGCTGCTGCATTTCATCCCACAAGTGATACATCTCAGGGGTGCATGAAGTTATGCCTAGTTGGCATCTCTCTTCAAACCTATAATACTCGGGATACTTCAAATGAAAGTGTGTGTATGTGAGAGAGAGAGCTTTTCTGAAGAATTCCCTTCAGAATAGATTAATTTATTTCCTTATAACTTGGAGCTCCTTTTTTTAAAAGTTGGAGTTGGCCAATATAAGCTTTTTACAAAAATGGAGAGATTTTCTAAAGACTATCATAGCCCATTTACACATAATTTTGATACTTTTTTGGTTTCCTTTAAGATAGCAACTCCTGCCAGATACACTGTAACTTTAGGAGGAACATCCATTACTGTCAAGTATCTTCGTAAGCATGGCTACATGTCCACACCCCCTCCGGTAAAGGAATACCTGCAGGATAGAATGGAAGAAACAAAAGAGCGTCTCTCAGGGAAGATGGAGGAAACAAAGGATAGACTAACCGAGAAGATGGAGGAAACAAAGGATAGACTAACTGAGAAGATGGAGGAAACAAAGGATAGACTAACCGAGAAGATGGAGGAAACAAAGGATAGACTAACAGAGAAAATACAAGAAACCAAAGATAAAGTTTCATTTAAAAAAAGAAAAGAATAAGAAAATGCTCAGCTGAGGTTGTTCAAAAAAGTATGCAATTTAACCCTTTGAAGCATCTGGATATGGACTTTCTGCTGAGCTTTCATTTGGCTGGTTGGAGAATATCAGTGTTCTAAGGATTAAAGATTTCTGTACATTCTTTAATGCTAAGGTACTTTTTAAAAGAAAAAAATCTGTCTTATGAAAGAGAAAATGAATCTAGGATTAAAAATTCATACGTGCAATGGCAACAGTGTGGTCAGTTTTTTTGTAAGTCAAGATGCTTCTCTAAGATCTACAATATTATTCTGGCTGTCAGCTGGGAACCACCATTGTGTCAGACTGGTTCCTCCATTCCGTGGGAATCCAGATTTCTTTTTCAGAGAAAGGACATCATCTCTTTTTCAGTCATTATAATATAGCACTGATCTCTCTCTAACCACTGCTATCTCAACTATGAGACAAACCGTTAGCACTGGTGCTGCAAGTGAAGGAACTAATGGGCCAGACCCTTAGCTAGTGTAAAATGCCATAGCTACACTGACTTCAGTTGGGTTTCAACAGCTTACACAAGTTGGGGATCTGGATCTTTGTTTTAAAAAAGTGTCTTGAAACTTTCAAAAGCCTTTCAACTGAAAATTATAGTAAGATGAGTTAATTACAGTAGCCATGTATTCATTTATACTTTTGTTTTTATATAAAGTTGAATTACAATTGAGAATATTATAGCATTGAATAAAATGTACTGACTGTAACTGCCTATGGACTAAAGCATAACTGGTTCATTTTCATCCAGAATTATGCTGTAATTTACTGAAGGTGTTCCGCTTTGTACTAGCTTGCAATAATAAAATACAAATTAAAGGGAGAAGTCTGCACCTACTGATGGCATATAGTGATAATTTTTAAAAATATAGTGGTGGGCCCAAATGTTGCTCACTTACATGAGAATTTTCACTGATGTCGATAGGACTGATAACACACAATAAGCAGGAATCCGATCAGACACTTAAAACAAGTTTCCCCCACACACTCTTCTGGTTTTAGATTAACCTAAAAATGTTAATTGGAGTAAAGGTTTATGCACTGTTGCTGAACACCATACAAGGTCTGTTACTGAAACTGTATACCATCTGACTACCAAGGCACCATCGTTTCATGACTCATTTGGCCAAAATCTATATAGAAGCAGGAGAGGAGAGTGAATTTTTTCTGTTTGGTGTGGGCTTCCCCATTATTTCTATAACAAGTATCATTTTGCAGCAAGAAGATGGCCTCCACTACTTGTTTCACAAAGGTTTATTTTAGGGGGAGAAGAAAAGAGAGTAATGTTGGGGGATTGACTGGGGGTCAAGAAGCGAAGAGCAGCTCTAGTTTAATCCAATGTCCGCTCTCTTTTGCCTTGTTTTATGGTTTTGGTCAAATAAGAGTTCTGGCTGATTGAAATCATGACGGCACTGTTTACAAACACATTCAGCCACCATTCAATGTCTGCTTAGAGTATCATTAAACCTTCTTTTGCCAGGGCAAGGCAAAATGGGGTAGGCAGGTTTCCCTAGAATAACAGTGGGGGCAGTAACTCTATTTATGACAACATTATTTGGTAGGTACAGTGTCCCAGCCTGTCCATGAAGGTAGCCTCCCAACTGGCAGAAAACCCAGGCATCATGAACTTTTTCAGTACAGGCCACATTGGCATCCATAAATGAACCTCTGTGTTCCACAAGGACCTGCATAACAATGGAGTAGGGCCCTTTGTAGTTATGTCCTCTTTGAAGAGGGCAAACTGTGGGCACATGAGTCCCATCAGTGGCCCCAGCACATCTTGGAATTCTATTCTCAAAACCAGCAATTGCGTCAGGGATACTGTTTTTGTCCACCACCTGTGGGTAAATCAGGTACCTGATTGGGACAAGTATCAGAGGGGTAGCCGTATTAGTCTGAATCTGTAAAGAGCAACAGAGGGTCCTGTGGCACCTTTAAGACTAACAAAAGTATTGGGAGCATAAGCTTTCGTGGGTAAGAACCTCACTTCTTCAGATGCAAGAAGTACATAATTAAAGTACATAATTATGACCAGCAATTATGCTGTTCAAAGAGCCAATTTAATTTTTAATAAAATGAAGTGTGGCCTTAGCACTTCACATCTTTGGGGGCACAGTATATGCCTCACACAACCCCTGGGAGGTAGATACTATTTGGTTACTGTATTGTCACCTTTATATAGCTGGTGAAACTGAAGCGGAGATTAAGGGTTTCATCCTCCACTCTTAATGGGTGCTTTGCCATTGACTTCAACTGGGGCAAAATCAAGCCCTAATGGTATGTGTACACTGCAATGTAAACCCAAAGTCTGTGGGACTTAAGGCCACAGGCTTGATGTTTGTAAGCCTGGCCTTTAGTGTCCATACTGTGTACTGACCCTATGTTTAGAAGTTCTGAACCCAGCTCTCACTTCCACACTCACCTGTCTACGCTATGCAGAGCTGAGTCAAGCCAGCCTACCCAGGCTTCCTAGCACCTAGATCATTGATTCTCAATCATTTACCATTGTGGGCTGCATATGCAGCTCTCTGTGTTATGTGGGCGCATCCATGCAACACATATACTACCTGTATGGTCCTGATGATGTCACATGGGCCGCAGCTGTGTTCTGATTGGGCCGCAAGCAGCCCACAGATTGAGAACCACTGCTCCAGATGGATGATATCCTGTATTACCACTGCTTATGGTTTGGCCAATACACCTCCTCTGCCATGTCTTTCTGCACCCTTGAAGAGCGCTCAAGCAATGTATATAGCTTACCTATCCTGTACATTTGCAGGGCTGCTACTTAGTCCTCCATAATGCAGTGGCATAATGCTGAATGAATGGAACAGCTTCAAGGGAAGGATGCAAACTTTGGCAAGGTCATATTTCAGTCACTGTTTAAATAGCCTCCAAGTCCCATTGCCTACAATGCTGCTTGTGACTCACCTGAATGCAATATACATCTGCAGCCATTCGAAGAAGAAGGAACAGTTACTTAACTGGTGTCTGCATCCACACGTTACGAATAACCCACCCTCCATATCTGCATTGGTGTTGTAGGCCACTTTGGTGTGAAGGACCAGAGGTTGAGGGTGGGAGCGGGCAGAAGCAGGGTAGTGCTACCCTTATAGACCTTTGGGAGGGGCCACAAGGCGATGCACAGTGTGTGCACTGCCCTGACAGGTACTGCAGCAGAAACTTTCTGGCTCAGGCACACACACACACACACACCTGAGTGGAATACACATCTGCACCTCCAGCTTAAAGAACTGGCTGTTACACATTCTAATTTCTGCATCTGGCTTTTGAGGTTGATTAGAGTTTAAACATGGAAGGACTTTGGTTCATTTAGGCCTAGTGCAGGAAGGCTTCATCGACACTCGTGGTCTTCCACCCTCCCGAGTTACCTAGGGTTATGCCTAATGACACCAACACACTAAACAAGCTGCTAAAACTGGAAATCAGTTATCTGTTTTGGGGATACTAAGCTAATGAGGCAGCTGCTAGGTGTCTGTAAATGTGAGTCTTGTTTCCTTTTTGTACTAGTTGTAAATATAGCTCATCTTTCAAGCACCAGTTCTTAATATTGCCAATAATAATGAAACACCACTAAAACTGCATTTATAACATTTTTATTTTTACAGTAGGTGTCTGAAAGAAGACAGGTACAGATGATTTAAAGTGATTTAAATAGAACAGCTCATGCGCCTCTGGCCAAAGAAAAGAGCACAAAAAATGTAAAATACAGCATCAGTTCTTTAGCCCAAATAATATGATCCACATGTTCACTTTCAGGTTTCAATAGTAGGGAGATGAAATCAATGCCCATTTGAGAAGAAAGGAAGTTAATTTGGGTATAAAATAAGCAACAACAGCTACAGCAGCTGCACTGAGCTAGTGAAATAAATGAAAATGAAATGGGGGGGAGGGGAAGGAGGCGGAGAACACAAAACGGAGAAACATCGGCATTATCGTTGCAATCGTTGGAAGCCAAAGAAAATATGAACACAACAAAAAAGACCATCTGTACCAATATTTTACTTAACCTTTCACCAGGTATGGTTAATGACTTATAACTATTATCTGTAATCTGGATCCAGTAATTACAATTTGTTTTTCCTTCAGGGTCTCCATAACATTTTACTGCAACTATTGTTTGCATTTTTTTGCTTAAGAGCCACTGGCACTCTTCCTTTCCCAAGATTTGTTATGTCTATTTAAGCCACTATGTCAGGCGTAGTTGCTTTGAGTTAGACATCTCAATAAATGGCCTGTGTTTCTGAAATGCTGAGCACCGCTGGACTCTCACATTAGAAGCTTTAGGGTACATCTACACTACAGCGGGGAGTCGATTTAAGATACGCAAATTCAGCTACGTGAATAGCGTAGCTGAATTCGACGTATTGCAGCCGACTTACCCCGTTGTGAGGACGGCGGCAAAATTGACTTCTGCGGCTTTTTGTCGGCGGCGCTTACTATCACCTCCGCTGGTGGAGTTAGAGCGCCGATTCGGGGATCGATTGTCGCGTCCCAATGGGACGCGATAAATCGATCCCCGAGAGGTCGATTTCTACCCACCGATTCAGGCGGGTAGTATAGACCAGACCTTAGAGTAGTAGCTCTTCCCTGCAGAGTTAATTCAGGTGTTTGGCACCTGGGTTAGCCTAATCCGGGTGTGAGCATTCACACTGCAAAGCCATACTTGTGTTAATGTGTCTACCTGGTCTTGCTTGCAGGTGTGTCAGTTGGCCTTTGGGGGGGGGGGGAGGGGAGTATAAAATGGTCACGTACCTGCATTGTACCTGTTGTTATCAGGTGCAGCACCGCTCATACCGGTGCCAAGCGGTAATAATGAGGCCTGCATACTTCTGGCTGAAAGGCAAAATAACAAATCAAAGGAAAGGGACAAGATAATAATTCAAGGAGAAGTTACTAGCAAGCTGGACTTATAGCCGCCAAGATGATTTAATTGCTTAAATGTAATTGCTTGCTACTTGCTTAATGTAAACTATTATAGGGGGAAGGGGGGGTGTCAGGGCTGGATCCCCACTTT